CTGCCGCTGAACTTAACCGGACTTGCCCCTGCTTTCGTGTGGCAAGCCCTTCTTGTACAGTCCTGCTTCTCCCTTACCCTCTTGTATATTTTCCTTCCCTAAATCTCTGGTGTCTCCTCTATTTTATGTATATTTTTTCTTCTCTCAGGCATATATATATATTATTTTGCATATGTGTGCATGTGTATATCTGTGTCTGCCTGTGTGTCTGCATGAACCTGTGTCTATGTAAAAGTAGAACTTCTTTCGTCTCTTTAAAGGATCTTCCACAAAGCTCCAACTTAAAAAATATGAAGAAATAATATATACATATCATTACTTATGATATAAAAAACTGAAAGCCAGAATTAATGGTCCATGTACGATTCAACAAACTCCAGAACACCCTTGGGTGTTGTTATAGTTTCTCTGCCGCTGAGGTAAGGGAAACCTGTACTTCTGCTAAATCTTGCTGTTACTGTTCAAATAAAGAAAAAAAAATTATGGTTAAAGTAAATCTAGTATTTAACTTTTATTACCAGAAATCTTATCATTGTTGTCACATAACCCATAATAATATTAATTAATGTTCCAAATACCACTGATTTTTATTCCAATAATTTTTAGTGTTGAAGCAATTTCATGGTTATACTGCTATTATTACAAACAAGGTCAAGCTCCAATTCAAATCCTGTAACTTATTTCTATACCTCACTTACCTTCATCATCACAGACAACTTCAATAATGTTAATGACTCTCATGTTCCTCGTATCAAAACCTATCTTCCAAACTATTTTTATATGATACCCTTCCTGAGGTTCAAATTCTATGGTCACAGGTTCAATTGCATGCTGGACTTCTAAATTCGGAATGTCCTTCAGTTGATCAATGGCTTCATTTCTCTCTTCATACATCATCTGTAATTATAAGGGCCACGATGTAATAAATTCATTCTCATGCATCTTTGTCTCTCTTGAAGCAAGTGAGTTCAAGAGAGACACTCATTTTTCCAGCTGGCAAGTATGAGTGTTAAGTATCAGACATGTAGTAAAGTGATTATTATGACCTGACACTTCTAATCCCTTGAGTATACATGCCCTACTCCTCAGACACAGGTTGATAAACTCAGACATTTAGCCATTCAAACATGAAGAACTGAAGAAGAAGAAGAAGAAATCCACATGCATTCTGTTTCTGTTCAAAATGTAAATATAAATCACCATGAGTATATTTTTCAGAAGAAAAGGCCTAATATCTTAAAAACATCTGATACTCATCTAACCACTCAAAATAATTGGTAAATTTCAAGATCCTACCAACTATTTCAAATGCAATTATATCCTTTCATTAAAAACTTCTTTCAAGTATAGTAATCTATTTCACTTAAATAACGATAAATGATATATTGGTATCACACAAAAAGTGCATGGGTCAATATGTGAAAAACCTTTCCTACACACCCAAGTGTTATCAGTGGCACCCCTACATGCTACCTGTATAATTGTTCAGTCATAGCTGACTTAACAGCATACTGCAAAATATGATTATTCACTTCCTTACCAGTAAACTTAATGCTATGGTTAATGGCTAAAACAAATAAATGTGCAATTTGTTTTAACCATTAACCAATACAATTCAGTTTTATTCTAGAGATCAGGATGTTTTCCTGAACTCTATGTCAAAAGAATTTCTTCCATTCTTTTTAACAAAGCCTTTGTACATATATATTCATTGTCTTCGGTAAGTTTGATCTATATCATTTTTCAACCTGTGAAATGATTTTACCCATGGACTTTACAATAAATAACAATGATCCATTTTATGGAAATTATCTGAAGGGAAAACAGAAAGATGAAAAGAAGCACGGCCTGGGTTGCAGCCTGCACTCTGATGTTCTGCAAAATGAGATGTGCAATATACTCTATATGGCAGTAACTGTACAAAATAGTGGAAAACAAAGTACTGAAGTCAGAGTATCAATAAATTCTACTACAGCTTAAGTGTCTGTTTTAGGCATCTTGCTTCCATTTACATTCAGTATCTCACTTTCCCTATCCAAAACATTACCAGCAATAATAACGTCTTAGTATTCCATTTAAACCACCCTTACAGATAAACATAGAGAGAGCAGGAAGAGAGGGAGAAGAAAAGAAAGAAAAAAGGAAAGATAAAGAGAGAGAGAAAAAAAAAAAGACCCAATGCATACCTGCAACCCAAAGAGAAGATTGCTTAGCTGCTGTACTTTAAATGGACCATCTTGCTTATAGTCAATAATATCTTGGATTACAGGATTTCCTTCTGTTGCACTTAGGTTTTCAATTTGCAAGATTGTGCCCAGTGGATTCTCCAACTGTGGAATAAAGAATCATAAAAACACCCTCCGGCAAAGTTAAATGCATTACAGAAATTGTCACATTTGATTTTTCTTAGCTTACTGCTAAAACTTCCAAGATACATCAAAAACTTACATCACAGCCAGCCAGAAAACTAATGCTGTAAGAACATTCGCCAATCTTCCCCTCAACTTTCCAGCGTTTCAATAGCCCTAATTCTGCTGGAGCACTTCTACTCTTCTGCTGCTGCTGCTGCTGCTGCTCCTCCTCCTCCTCCTCGTCCATTCCTTCAACAGCTTCCACCTCCACTCTGGCTGATATCACGTGGTTGGCTGAAACAGTCCTTTGTCCTTCCCGCTGTTTCTTCACAATGTCTGTGTGTTCCTCCGTCAAGTGAATCGAGTCTCCTTTGGATTTTAGAATACTGTGAGGAAAGAAAAGAATAATGAGTAAAAGATATTGTATATATTTTTCAAACAAAGAAAACTGAAAAGAAAAAAAATGTACACATACTCATTGTCATAATGTTTCTTTTTTCATCTTGAATAAAAAGTAAATGAATAGTAAAGAAAAATCTATTAGCCACAGTAAACTCAAAACACACAAACCATTTGATTTCTGAATCCGCAGTTAGTTGTACTTGGTGTTTTAGGGCCTCTGCACGCAAGAATCTCTCTTTCTTGTCCAGCTCCTTCAGTCGCTTCTGCAATGTTGCAATCTCTTCGGCGAGTCCGTTGTAGATCCTTCTCATGTAACCAAATTCCCCGATGTCTTTCTTTTGCTTGCCCATGGTCTGTCATTGAAAAAAAATATATACTATTCTTAAAGATGGATTGTCAACCAAATAAATCTTACCACAAAATATAATTCAACCCATCTTTTCAACCTATTAGCACCAGGGATAAGTACTGTCCACTGCATTTTTGTGATCAAAAAATTAATTAGTAGGTCCTACAAAACCTCACCTGATTTCCTAATTCTTTGAATTTTTTCTAATGCTATCCATTTCAACTCTGTAATTCTATTGAAATTAGGATCATCATAATGTTCTTCAAGTATCAATAGCACTAATACAAAAGGACCATTCTGAAAATCTAGGAAAAGGGCTAAGAGGCAAGACAAAGATGACTCATAATTGGTTCAATGGTGACTCTCTGTGTAATCAAAGTTAATAAACTAAAATCACCATGAACATGCCATGCTAACATCAATTCTAACTTCAGATTATATTAGTAAACAAGATTTTAATCTGATATAAAACCCTTGGAAAAATATTACTTCTGAGATACTACAGTACCTTACTTCAAAACTCAATTCATAAGGATAATACCAGATGAGAGAAATATCAAATTTTCACCTCATGCCTGGTGCTCCCAAGCTGAAGCTCAGGAGCACCAAGTGAACTTATGCTGTGAGCAGCACTTTCAGTGATCTTTTCCCTTTGTTTGCAGTGTTACTGTTTGTGTCTGATGACTGCAACTTTATATCCCCTAAAAGAATATCATCTTCAATTTTCCCTAGCTTAGTACATCCATATCGTAAAGATTAACCAACTCCTCCAATATCTACAAATTTGGTCCCAGTAGCAGGGGGAGGGTATGAAAGGTATCATGAAAGTTGCAAGGTGAAATATGAATAATATGCACAGAGTTGGTCAATATACACTGAAATGCAGTTGGCTGTGGCTCTTGCAACCCACCTAATGAAGGTCTGCTGTCCCTAAACCCCTGTCCTGGATGACAAAGAATTCACCACGTATGTACGTTAGGAGAGAGTGTAGGGCAGACTTGGCGTTGGATGCTCCCAGGCTGGGGTGGTAAATCCCCAGGGTAGGAGAGCAAGGAGCAGATTCCCTGCATTAGACTTGTTTTGCAAAATTTTAGTTTCACACAAATATCCCATCTTGCAGTTACTATTTCTTGTTTCAGTTATTCATGGTATAATATCAATGAATCCATTATTTTCCATTACAAATGACGTAAATGAAATTACTGGTAGTTGTTTACCAAGTAACAAAATCCTTTTATAAGATTACATCCAGATTATTCCAGCCTTTCCTGGAAATCCAAAAAACTGCGTATGAGGCAAAACCCTTCCTAACCAGGGCTTCACCCCCCAGGCCCCACCTGATCGCTGTATTTCCCACAGGTTGGTAAACACGCAAAACCTCACAGTAACACTGATCTTCAATAGTTTTGAGTCATACAATGATCGTTTTGCTCACACCCAATTCTCTTTCTCGCATATATTTGAATTCCAACGTAACTAACACAAGAAAACAAAACAAAGTCCATCCATATTGAAAAACAAACACGAGTAACAGTCACTCAATTATTATGTTACTTTAGAGCATTATTGTTAAGAATCTTCTATAGCAAATATTGATATTTTACAACTACATTCTTAATTCTTTGGACAACTTCTGATTTCTAGTTTCATTTTGTTTATATTACCCCTCCTTTGTTTAGTGATTATCACAAAATTATCTACAGTCCAATTGTTCCCTTCAGAGAAGACGAACAAATAAATCAGAATGGCCAGATCAAAACATTAGAAAAAACCTCTGGTTGCTCACTGCCTACCAATCTGTAGAGTTTGGTCTGCGAGGGGAACGTGTTCCCCGCTCAAAAATTATTTGGTCAAATTCTGTCCGTGCAAATGTAGTTCTCGGGTAACTTTCCGCGCACAGTTAGTTCTTTTTTAAATCATCATCTGTGCATTAAATTCTTTTGCCCTTTCTGTGCACTTTTTTCATCATCTGTCCGCAGATCCATCTGCACAAATATAGACAAAATGATGTTTTCCGCACATGAAAAAATGTAATATTCCCAAGCAAGAAAAATACTCTACAGTCTGGGCTGCCTATAGTTCACTGCTCACAGGTCTAATACACTGATGAAAAACTATCACTGTTGCCCGCACCATAAATGTCCTTAGCTCGCAGGTCACAGCCCTTACATTGTCATTACTTGCTACAGCATATTTTCAAACCGAATACTACTTCCCTGAGTCTCTGCCCGTGGAACCCCACCAATTGCCGCGGCCTAACTCTCCGACATTTATTAATTTCCGACATTACTGTTTGTCTGCAAAGATTATTTCAAGTATCACTGTGTGTGCTTTTCCCCTTTCATTATGACAGTGCCATCAGATTTTCCCTATTTTAGTGCAGTCACAATGTAAATGTATAGCAAAGTATTAAATATTGCCCAACTTTCTTATCATCCCCGTTTCATTACATATGAAGCCTCCATATGTAATCCATTTCTTCCACTTGATCAAGCAAATATAACTCAAATAACCACTATTTTGGTATATGACCTACCCTTTCCACAAAAATAGGAAATATATACTTACGAAAATTTGAAAACAAGCTCGCGGTCTGTCAATTCAAATTCTTTGTTTACATCACTAAATCCGGGTTAAATGGCGGCGTTTGAATATTTTAACAATAGGTTTTCATGTTTCCATTGATAAAAATTACGCTAAAGGATCTCTTTAATTCTAAAAAAAAATAATAATATGCACTCATTACTGAACTTCGATGCCGAAATGTTATAACAAATATTGATAAAACGGAAGGGTCACATATCGTCGAATAGACTACAAATCTACTCACTAGATGGCCCTGTTAGCAAGCTAGATCAACAATATATTCTGTTATCATTATCATCACTATCAATATCATTACTACGGTAATTATTACTATTATTAGTACAATCATCATTATACTCACAAATATGCGTGATATGCGCTTATCAGAGCCCTGCGCATTATCTATCAAGATCGAGATCGAGATAATAATATAAAAAAATCTTTATTTTTATTATCAATAACTTTTATTATCACCATTATCACTGTTATTATTATGATCTTTATTATTGTTATTACTGTTATTATTATCATAATTATTATTGTTATTATTATTACTATTATTATTATTATTATTATTATTATTATTATTATCATTATAATAATAATAATAATAATAATAATAATAATAATAATAATAATAATATATAATATTATTATTATTATTATTCTTATTTTATTTTATTATTATTATTATTATTTTTTATTATTATCATTATCATTATCATTATTATTATTATTATTATTATCATTTATTATATTATTATTATTATTATTATTATTATTATTATTATTATTATTATTATTATTATTATTATTATTATCATTATTATTATTAATATTATCATTATTATCATCATTGTTATCATTATTGTCATCATTATTATTATTATTATCATTATTATCATCATTGTTATTATAATTGTCATTATTATTATTATTATTACTATTATTATAATGATGACGATGGTGATAATGATAATTATTTTGCTATTATCATTGTTATTATTATCATCATTATAATTATAACTATTCTTATTACTATTATCATTATCATCATTAGTAGTAGTACTAGTAGTAGTAGTGTTGTCATGATTTTTATTATCCTTGTTATTATCATTATCATTATAATTATTGTCAATATCGTCATTATTATTACTGTCAATATTAATTTTTTTTATTGTTATAATCATAATTATCCTTATTAACATTATTATGATTTTTAAATCATTATTATAATTTTTGAATTATTATTATAATTTTTGAATTATTATTATAATCAAATTATCATTATCATTGTCATTATTGTTATTAGTAACAATGTTATTGTAATTAATGTTATCATTGTTATTGTTAATATTATTATTGTTTTATTATTATTATTATCATTATCAATACTATTATTATCATCATCATCATCATTATAATCATTATTTATCATTATTATCATCATCATGCTTTTTTGTTATTATCTCATCATTTTATAATCATTATTGTTGTCAGCATTATTATTATCATGATTATTCCCATTATCATTATTTTCATTTTCATTATCATTATTATTAGTATGCTAATCCTTATTATTTTTATCACTATTATCATCATCATTACTGTTATTATTACTATCATTATTATTCCTATTATCGTTATTTATATTTTCGTTATCATTATTATTATTATGCTTATCCTTATTATCACCATTATTATCCAACAAAAAATGCTATGATTTTGTGATAATGACGGAATTTTCAATAATCCTGAAGTAACTATATCTGGCACAATTCTAAATGGACCTCACCATTCTTCCACAAATCATGTCTTGTTTTTATCTAAAAATCAAGAGAAGAATCTATTTGGGATTGGCTTGAAAAACGTTTAAACGTTTATAACGTTTGGCCTCCAAGCTTTCCTGATATATCACTTGAACATTTATTTCTTTTGAGATATTTGGATATTAAATAATGTGATCATGGTAATTCATATTTGAAAGGAGGGAGAAAACACAAGTTCAGTACTTCATATATATATTTAAAACTTTTGTACAAAAACTGTTTCAACAATTTTCCTTACTTAGGAATTACCTGTTGGCAAAAAATAAAACCTGTTACAGTTGATATGCACTATAATCGTATACTTTTGTTTTACACTGTACTGAAGGGTGGCATTAAATTTTCAAACCTAAAAATAACAATATTTATATGATTTTTTCCCCTATTAATAAGTAGTATTTCGTTACTTACGTCTATCCATTGAAAGAAAATACATTAAGAAGGTTGATTTGTCAGGATAAAAGTAACACATGAGTATCAAGCAGAAATACACAAAATGATTAATCCTCCTATGAACCGCATTCATGTTGACGAATGTGGAAAAGTATGAATGAGAATGAATACAAGAGATGTATTTAATACAATATTTTGTATTAAATTGTAAGATGTATTTAATCACAATATAAGAGATGTATTTAACCGGTTTCGAATGTACCATGTATTTCTGACGAAGATATATACGAAACCGGTCAAATACATCTCTTGTATTGTGAAGATATTCGTTCTTATTCATACCTTTCCACATAATCCTCCTATGTCAAACAGTCATACTACGTATCACACTAGCACTTTTTCCGTCAATTTTTTGCGTTTCCGAATGAACTCCATATGAAAATCATGTAAACAAACATGGCGCTATCGGAATTAAGTCCCGCGAATCGCACGAAAGTTCTCATACAGATTACGTTATTTTAAAGAAATGTGATGATGTATATACGAATGTTCTAAAATATTGGCTTATAATTACATTCACTCATCCTATCTAATTTATTAATAACACAAGATCAACACGGAAATTAGTCAGACGGAAACGGTCGTAACCGTCTTGGTCTGGGAGGCGATCCTAGCGGAAAACCTCAAATTCAGACGGAACCCCAGAAATTGATGGGAAAAGTGCTAGTGTGATAGACCCTAATTTAATTAGAGAATGTACTTCCGATACCATATTACTTCCATACTCTACTGGAATATATATTGTCAAAGATGAAACGGTAAGCAAAGGAGACACAAATATACACATCGCGAAATACATGTTTGTTTAAATCGTCATCTCTGCCAAGGAATCATATAGATCTTAAGTCTCCTTGATCTCTTCTATTCTGTGTTATTTGCGATCGGCGTTTGGATGTGGGAAAGGCTAGATCAGTAGCAGCTGGAGGTGGTGTCATGGCGTCTGCATTGATGATTTTTCAGTGAAAATATAACCATTAAAACCATTATTTTCCATACTTTTTGAAATTTGAAGAGACCAAAGTGATCGACCATATTCACAAAGCATCCGTAACTTTTGTGACGTCATCAAAATAAACCCCATGTGTTTTTTTTTTTCCAAAAATAGAATCAGGCGCCATGACACCTCCTTGAGTTGCTACTGATCTAGCCTTTCCCGTTTGGATTCTCAACCCATTGCAAGCACCACCGTGATCCATGAGGGCGTGGCAGTGCTCTTTCACAGTGCTTGAAATCGCGTGCTTGCAAAGATTCTGAGGTTAAGCAAGAACCACATGGAGTAGCATTGTCCGTAGCGGTATCGGTCAAATAGCTGTAAAATGTATCTGTAGATTGTGTGTTTGCCTTTATGGCTTTTTGAGTAAGTCTTACGTATATTTTGAAAGTTATAGAATTTATTTTGGTATTTAAAAAATATTTCTGCTACAAAGAAAAGTCTGGAAAAAGACTTTGCTTGCTATAATCTTCAAAACTAATTTATAGTTGTGTCGTAGTATTTGGGACGATTCTTTGAACAAAATCTAAGCTTACCCTCATTTTTCTTTATATTGGGAAAATCCGTTATATTTCTGATGAATAACAATAGTTGTTGTCGAGAAATAGTGTTGACACTATTTTCCTTTATTCTTATAATTATTATATATATATATATATTATATATATGTGTGTTGTGTGTGTGTGTGTGTGTGTGTGTGTGTGTGTGTGTGTGGTGTGTGTGTGTGTGCATATGTGTATACATGATATAGGTACATATATGATTATGTTTTTTTTTTTTCAATACTTCCGCATAACGGATCATGATGATTTTGGCATCGTTGGATTCCTCTAACTGTCTAGTTTCCAAATATATAGAAATTATTGTGCGGAAATCCCCACCCCCCCACATTCTTGGTCCCGATAGAAGGGGAGGGCATGAAAGGTACCAGGGAAATTGCGGGACAGAGTAAGTGATGTACACAGAATCAGTCACTATGTAGTCTAATGCAGGGGGTACCGTCCCCAATCCCGCAGAGAGAGCGTCGACATAGTTGGCAACGCTGTTCTCACATGGCGGTCGCAAGCTCGCGCCTGCAGTAAATACGTGGAAGATTCTTTGTTTTCCTTGGCGGGGGTTGGGGGGGCGGCATGGGGGATCGCAGGGGGAACAGCCTCATGCATAAGACAATATAGTGACTGATTCTGTGTACATCACTTACTCTTTGTCCGCAATTTCCTGGTACCTTTCATGCCCCCCCTTCTATCGGGGTCAAGAATGTGGGGGTTGGGAGGGGGCTTCCGCGCAATAACACACACACACACACACACACACACACACACACACACACACACACACACACACACACACACACACACACACACACACACACACACACACACACACACACACACACACACACACACACACACAACACACACACACACACGCAATCACATACACAACACATACGTATGTGTCTGTGTGATGTTCATGCGTACACACACACACACACACACACACACACACACACACACACACACACACACACACACACACACACACACGCATGTGTAAAAAAAATCAATTCATTATGAAGGTAAACGTTCGCATAACACATAATCGACTTAAGTCACTAATTACCGTAAGCTGGTAATATAAATACATAGATCCTGGTTTAAATACCTAAACAACATGTCGTTTTTTAAGGCCGATAGGTAGAAAAAAATATGCAATAATCACACTCTGGAAAAAGGAAGAAAGATCACATTTAATAACATCGAAAATTCATTCATAATCAAAGGCCAAGGGGCCACCAGCCTAAAAATATTACCAATACTAATATTATCCCTGAAAATCTTATTGTAATGCGCTTAGAGAAGAAGAAAGAAAATAAAGGAGAGGGGGGAAATAAAGAGAGATAGGAGAGATGGAGATAACAGAGTGAGAGAGAGAGAGAGAGAGAGAGAGAGAGAGAGAGAGAGAGAGAGAGAGAGAGAGAGAGAGAGAGAGAGAGAGAGAGAGAGAGAGAGAAGAGAAGGAGAAGACAGAGAGAGAGAGCGAGAGAGAGAGAGAGAGAGAGAGAAGAGAGAGAGGAGAGAGAGAGAGAGAGAGAGAGAGAGAGAGAAGAGAGAGAGAGAGAGAGCGAGAGATCAGAGAGAGAGATAAAAATTTAATATTTCCACATACAAAAGCAGCAAATTTTAATCTGCGTTCTATGAAAAATAAATAAAAGACATTTAGTCAACTTGCAAAAATCAACTTACAATTCAAATATAATTGTACAAATTGGATATCTTGATTATCTGGGGAAACCATGTAATCCCGGACTGCTTTAAAAATAAATCCATTTGATAAAACCTTTATAACCCAAATTCAAGAAAATGCATTTGATAAACCCGTAAATATCACTGAAACGATAATTCTTTTCTATAATAGATATAAAACTCAAATGCATTTTTAAAAACACGATAGACTCGTAATAATTTTATCAAACCTGTATTGTTATCGTTCCAACTATTTTAGAGAATAACTTCCGAGTCAGGCGTATTCTCTCTTCCCGTAAGGTTAGTCTTCAAAAACGAAGAGCCAAAAAAAAAAGGTGATTTTCAACAACAAAAGAAATAATAATGATTGTCCTAGATACTGATGATAAAGATTGTGATCATGAAAACTATGGTCATGATAGTATAAATAACGATAATAACGATAATGATAACGACACCATATCATAATAACGATGCTTATAGTAGTAACAGTGATAATGTCATTAAGACTCGTAATGACTATGGAAACATATGAATAACATACACAGATATATAGATAATAAACAAACTGTCTTGAAGCACAGTATACATTTTTTTCTATCTAACAGACTTCGAAAACAAACCGTAGTCATAGAAAAAATTCCAAAGACACATTCGAAAATTCCCGCCAAATTTTAAACGCGCGGAGCAGACGATTTCATGGCTGACTCTGCGACGGGTGCGTGGGCGGCGAAGAAGGGTGAGTGGGGGGAGAGGGTGGGTGCGTGGGCGGGGAGGAGGCGGCTTCTCTGCGGGTGTAGAGTACAGTGTCCATCATACTGAGGCTCTGTATTATGGTGTCATCGCGCGATACCCACTGTGCCAGCTCCTCTATGGTGATGGCGCCGTCCTGGTTGGCGTCGATCAGCTGGAAGGGAGAAAGTGTAATTTTCTTTGGTGTTTATTGTTTTCCTTTATCGATCTATCTGTTTATTTATTGATTTTTTTGAAGAGGATAGGGATTGTTTTGTATTACTTGTTTTTTTTTCTTTTTCTCTCTCTACCTATTCTTTCTCCGTATTTTTCTCTTCTGTCGCTCCATTTCTACTTTCCTTAGAATTTCCCTTTCTTGATTTTCTCCTCTCTGCCACCCGTCTCTCTCTCTCTCTCTCTTCATCTCTCTCTCTCTCTCTCTCTCTCTACTTCCTTCTCTATCCCCGATTCCCGTTCCCCTTTATTCTTCCTCTGCACCCCTTTCTTTTCTTCTATTTCTCCTCTTCCTCTTTCTTCCAGACTCCGCCTCACTCTGCCCAGACAAATATGGAAGATCTTTTCCACGTCATCTTTATTCTCTTCAGTTTGTTTTTAACCTACTTTCTCTTTCTCCCTTTTCTCTCTCTTTCCCTTTCTATTCCATTTCTCCCTCATTCCTTCTCTGTTTCCTTATCCTTCATTCGCTCCTTTCCCTTTTCTCCACATCTCCTTTCCCGTCTCTATCCTCCCTTTCCCCTCTCAACCTCCCTATTTCCTTTTTCTTCATCCCCCTTCCCATTCTCATTTTACTTCACCCCCTTCCCCATTTTCTTTCCCCTCTCTCCCTCCTCATTCCCTCTTTCCTCATATCCCCTTCCCATTCTTTCCCCTCTCCCTCCCCTTTTCTTCCTCTCTCCCTTTCCCTCCAATTCCTTTCCCTCCCTCTCCCTTCCTTTCCATCTCCCCTCCCATTTTTTCCCCTCTCCTATTCCCTTTCCCTCATACTTCTTCCCTTCCCATTCCCTTCTCCCCCCCCCCTCGCCCCCATATACCTACATGAAAGATCTTCTCCACATGCTCCTTGGCGGACGTCTCCTCCACCTGCGGCTCGGTGGAACGCCCCATCATCTCGTAGATGGCGCTGACGACGTCCACCATCTCCGCCTTGGTGATGAGGCCGTCGTTGTTGACGTCGTAGAGGCCGAAGATCCACTGAAGCTTCTCTTGCGTCGTACCCCGGGATACCGTGGAGAGGGATGCCAAGAAGTCCTTTTTTTTTTTTTTTTTTTTTTTTTTTTAAGGGGTAGGGGTTGGGGGGTTTGTATGGGTAGGGGATGGGTAGGGGTGTGTGTGGGGGTTGGTGGTGATTAGAGGGATGAAAACAGAAGTGGGAGAGGAGAGAAGAGGAGAAATAAAGGAGGTGGAGAAGTGTATATGGGAGTTTTTTGGGAGGGGATGAGTGATAGATGGATAGAGAGGGGGAGATGGGGAGGGGACAAGGAGAAAGAAAAAAAAAGCGTTAATGAACAAAAAACAACCATACTTAAACTACTAATAGCGACCCACATCTTGGACTTTGAAAAAGAGCTTAATCTAAAATATGTCATTTTAAGTTATGTTGTAATGATATGCCTTGTGCTTTCATTCTCCCCTCCCCCCCACCAACTCTCTTTTACACACTGTCTGTCTGTCTGACTGGTTCTTTCTCTCTCCTACTCTTTATCTTTCTCTCTCACACTCTCTCTTTTCTTTCTATCTCACTCTTTCTCTTTTTCTTTCTATCTCACTCTCACTCTCTTACTCTTACTCTCTCTCTCCTACTCTTTCTCTCTTTCTCTCCCTCTCCCTCTCCCCCCTCCTCCCCTCTCTCAATCTCTCTCTCTCTTTCTCCCCTCCCCCCTCTCTCTCTTTCCCTTTCCCTCTCCCTATCTCCCCTCTTCCTCTCTCTCTCTCTCTCCCTCACTCTTTCCCTCTCCCTCTCTCTCTGTCTCTCTGTCTATACTCTCTCACTTTTTTTTCTTTTCTCTTTTATATATTAAGATATATACACACAATCGTGTGCTGGCTTGCGCCTACTCTTATCAGCACAAAGAGTAATATCGTTCAAGAAAATGTGAAAAATATGAAATTAATTCAACCCTTTTCAAAGTCTTGCAGTGTAAATTCCAGTCTGCCACAAGATGAATTACCAACCTTCTTATCTTAATAATGTTTAATGTCATTAGCTAATTTACGTATCAAGCTTTGGAGTGAGGTTGTGATTCCATAAGGTTGATTTAAATTATTCAGGTCAGAACATGAGAATAAAATTTTGGAATTGTTCAAATAACCCAGAGGTAGATTTTAAAAGCAAAGGTAAAATGACGATTTATGTGTGTGTGTTCTTGCTTGCTTGTGTGTATGTGTCTTTGAGTGTATTACTTGTAGATCGGTGTGTTTGGGCATGTCATACAATAATCATATACATGGCATTTCTTTTATTTTCTAAATAGAAAAAGATCTAAATGTATTTCTCAACACAGTCTTAAATACAATTCACCTTACAACACATAAATGGCATTTCATTTATTTTCTAAATCAATATCGCAGGATCTTAATGTATTTCTCGACACAGCCTTAAAGTCAATTCACCTTACATCGTTAAAGACAATTCACCTTACAATTTAATTAAAGACAATTCACCTTAAAGACAATTGTTAAAGACTAAAGACAATTCACCTTAAAGACAATTGTTAAAGACTAAAGACAATTCACCTTAAAGACAATTGTTAAAGTTAAAGGCAATTTTTAAAGACTTGTTAAAGACAATGCACCTTACAACAACCTTACAACCTCACATCACATAAATGGCATTTAATTAAATTTCCATAGCAATAGCGCAGGATCTAAATGTATTTCTCAACACAGCCTTAAAGACAATTAATTCCCCTTACAACTATAAATCCAACAAGAATCGACCCTCATTACCGAAAACACCCCATCCACCTTCCTTCCTCCGACGAAGAAACCTGAAGATAAATTCCCTCGACCTAACCCCCCCCCCCCCCCGAGACCGTTTCTTCCGTCGCTTTTCCTTTTACACTCAACCAAAAAAAAAAAAAAAACCTTTCTTTCCCGCTCGTGACCCGGAATAAAGGCGTGCGAGAGAAAGCAATCGAGGGAGACATACCTCGAAGCTGATTTGGCCGTGGTGGTTGCGGGTGAAGGTGTTGAACACGTAGTGGGCGTAGTGCGTGGCGTCTGCGGGGCGGGAGAGACGGTGGTGTGTATTGGGCTTTGGCTGCGCGTACACACGTGCACACATGATGCGCATACTTGCGCATGCACGCTATATACATAACTTCATTTTCCAGACAGGAAATAATGTATAAATACACACGCATACACATACACACACACAGATATACTAGTATATTATATATATATATATATATATATATATATATATATATATATATTATATAATATATATATATATATATACAATACATATACATATACATATACATACCACATATATACATATACATATACATACACATACACACACACACACACGCACACACCCATATATACATACACAACTAACACACGAAAAGCCACACAAGGCCCGCAGTGCCCAAGGAGCCGCATCCCCAGAAGCGCCGGTCGAACTCACCTCCGAGGGGGAAGAACTGCGAGAAAATTTCCTTGAATCCTTCTTCGTCAATCAGACCCGTAGGACACTCCTGCGAAGAAAGGGATGGCGTCTTAGGATCGCGGGATTAGCCTTCTTCGCATGAGGGATTTCGGCGTGGGATTTGATTAGGTTGTTGAAAGGAGGAGAGCGATGATTGTGGGGTTTTGGGTGGATTAATCTCGTTCAGGATATACAGAGGTATTAGCATTGAGTATAAACCGCCAGATGATATCTTTAGGGAAAAAATAATGGCTATAAATCAAAATAAAATAATAAAAAAAAAAGAATAAAGGAAAATACAACCTAATAGAAGCAACACCAACAGAAAAATGAATGAATGAATAAAACAAAACAATACAACCTAATAGAAAACAACAACAACAGATAAATGAATTAAACAAAACAAGATCGATTTTCCTCCCTTGGAAATCCGACACCAAGGACTGACCTTCGAATTCTGGATCTCAAGGTGTCACTTCTGGCACTTTGCACGTTTCTTTTGACACTAAGGATTGGCAACGTGTCTCTCCTGCGACGAATGTGTCTGTTGTGTGTCTGTTTGTCTGTCTCTTTTACTCGATATTTCGTTAATGTGTTTCTCGCTCTTGCTCTCTCTCTCTCTTTCTCTTTCTGTCTCTCTCTTTATCTATCTATCTCTGTCTTTCTCTATCTCTCTCTAATCTATCTCTCTGTCTTTCTCTATCTCTCTCTCTTTCTCTTTCAATTTCTCTCTCTCTCTTTCTCTCTATCTATCTCTATCTATTTATCTCTCTCTCTCTCTCTCTCTTCTCTCTCTCTCTCTCTCTCTCTCTCTCTCTCTCTCTCTCTCTCTCTCTCTCTCTCTCTCTCTCTCTCTCTCTCTCTCTCTCTTTCCGTCTATCTTTACATCTATTTTCAAACTACTTTTAGAAATGAATGGTTGAAGTATGATAAAAAGGTGAAAAAAAATATATATACATATACATACATATATACATATAGACATACACACATACACATATACATATACATATATATACATACAAATATATATTTTATATATGTATATATACATACATATATATATATATATATATACATATATATATATATATATATATATATATATATATATATATATATATATATATATATATGTAATGTATGTATGTATGTATGTATGTATGTATGTATGTATGTATTATTATATATATATATATATATATAATATATATATATATATATATATATGTATGTGTGTGTGTGTGTGTGTGTGTGTGTGTGTGTGTGTGTGGTGTGTGTGTGTGTGTGTGTGTGTGTGTGTGTGTGTGTGTGTGTGTGTGTGTGCGTGTGTGTGTGTCTGTGTGCAGAGAAGAAATAAATAATCATCAATAAAAAGAAAAAAAAGATGAAAGGAGAAAAAACGAGAACCAGAAAAGGAGTCCGAGCGAGAAGCGGAAACGAGATGAATCGTTCAGCCCGGAGATCTATCACGCAGACAGGTGCTAGAGAAGGTATACGCGAGTCATTAGCCTAATGTCCCCCCCCCCCCCCCGCAGCTGCTCCTCGCGTGTGCTTAGTTATGGAAATCATTGTATCGCCGAAGGGAAACCGCCAGGAAGGACTGAGATTTGGGGAAAGTCTACGGGGAACGCACGCCGCATTTCAGTATCTGAGGCGATTTATTGCGGGGATATTTTGTTCGGCGCGGCCTCGGGGTGAGGGGGGGGGGGTGAGGCGGGGGAGGGGGGTTGCCAGAGAGTTCTTGGTGGAGGATTTTGCTAGGGCGGTTGGGGCTCATCTGGGTGGTTGGATGGAGGCGGATATGTACTGATGTGGTTATGTGATATGTGTGTCTTGTGTATGGGTGTATATGCAGTATATGCACATGTATATATATATATGTATTAGTACACACACACACTCACACGCATGTGTGTATGTGTGTGTATGTTGTTGTGTGCGCGCATGTGTGTGTATGTGTGGCTATGTAAATACAAAACCCGACTTTAAACCATAAACTCCAAATCCAAATGAACGTTAAAACTTGCGTTACTGAAATGAAGCCATCTCTAAAACCGCTTCAAGTCATAAGAAAGAATCCGAAGGGTGTCAGAGAGAAAATCGAACGTCATTTCACTGAACAGGTCAGTCAATCAGCGAGCAATGATGCTGACTCGTGTGAGCTGAATTATTAAAGGAAAATGGAAAAGTTACTTGACATTACTACTTCTTTACCCCATCTCCCGTCTCTCACTCTCTCTCTCTCTCTCTCATTTCTGCTTACTATCTCTCTCGATTTTCTTCTATCAGTCACATCTCCTCCGTCTAAGTCTCCCTTCTCTCTTTTTTCTCTCTCCGTCTATTCCTTTTCTCTCTCTTTCTCTCTCTCTCTCTCGCACAAGGACACACACAAACATAAATCATGCACATACACTGTTTCTTCCCCCCCTTCTATCTCTCTATCTATTTATCTCTCTCTCTCTTTAAATACAAAAGATCCAAAGAAGGAAACCCATAATTAATGACCGCCCTTTCCCGCCGAAAACCGCTCCTGATTCCTCCCCCTCTCTAGCAGTCTCCAATAGCTTCGTGTCAGACTGGCCTCCACTGACCTCTAACCCAACCTCGACCGACAACAGTATAGCCACACACGATCAACCTCCACCAGGTAGTCCCTCATAAACCTCCTGGACTACACCGTCAGCAAACCAGAAAAGCGGAAATTCCTGTCTGTCCTCGACCTGAAAAACGGAAATTCCTGTCTGTCCTCGAGCCACCTTTCCGTCCACCCTCAGCACGTGGCATCCTTCCGCCTACCAACACGTCCCTGACCTGCGGACCGATGCCCGTGACCTCCTCTCCCTCCTGCTCGCAATGTCCTTGGCAGAAAGATATACGGACAGTTCTGTGCCATCAATCGGTCGGCTCATTAATGAAACCTAATTATTGCTCTGTTTCCCACTGCCAATTTAGTCGTCTCCTTTCGCAAAGAAGAATGGCCTGATCGATAGGTTTCCGCTGAAGGTTTTTCTGTGCTGTATATCTGGGCAATTCGTGTTTATATCGTCACATTTCACTATAGCTTTTCTGCTGAGAGACTACATTTCCTCGACATAATAATTACCATATCAATATCATTATATAATATATATATATATATATATATATATATATATATATATATATATATATATATATATATATATATATATATATATATATATATATATATAATATATAATATATATATATATATATATATATATATATATATATATATATATATATATATATGATATTATATGTATGTTTACATAAACATATAAGAAAAATTATAAAATAAGTCGCAACATTTCGACGTTCGGGAGGTTCAAAATTAAAAGCGAAAGGAACAGAAAAAAAGGATACGTAAATCCGTTGCTCAATTTTGAATATAGATGGCGTTAGTCATCCAGCGACGTGTTGAAATAGACAGCAAATAACTTTTGAGTTGTCTAAATAAAATTTTGTCTTGGCAAATATACCTAAGTTTTGTAAGACATTAGAAAATGATACCGAACTCTTAATCGATGAATCCGCTATCACTAAATTTATAGAAAAGAAGCAATAAAAATAATTAGTTATTTCTGCCGATTTACGGTAAAATGGAATCTAAAAGAGCCATTAATATTATAAGAAGAACGCCAGGAAAAGAAAAAAATTTTCCCATTCTATTTTAGCAAACGGAACCAGATTTTATTTTAGCTTGTTCGAAAATAACTGAAATCTAACCTCCACACAGAAAAGAGGATCACCCACAGATCTATAGAAAATGGAGGCTAAATGGAGGATGGACTAAAGGAAATCTGAGTCAAACATCTCCATGTATAGATTCGCCATAACTCAGACTGCTCGAATCACAATACCGATACAAGAAATAATCTTTTAAAGGAGACACAGAAAGCTTCCGTTTAAGAAAGTCTACCACACCATCATCAACAATAAAAATAAAAAAAAGGAAATATAAACAAAAGATAACAATTCTCAGACATCGTTGATCTGCAAATTCTTAACAGTGCAAATTTCACAGTGAAAATAAACACAAAAAACGAGCATTTGCGATTTTTTCAAGCGATTTAAAAGTCCCTCACCTGTTTGAATCCTCTGTAGATGAGCTGGATCTCCTTCTTTGAGAACTTGGTCGTCTTGGCCAGTTTCTCCAGCTCCTCAGGACGGTAGCGCTGCACGTGGAAGCTGAGGCCGTCGCCGCCGTCGTCGTCTGGGGGTCGGAAGGAGGGCGGGTGAGAGGGTGGCTGCCACGGTCTCTCTCTCTCTCTCTCTCTCTCTCTTTCTCTTTCTCTTCTCTTTCTCTTTCTCTTTCTCTTCTCTTTCTCTTTTCTCTTTCTCTTTCTCTTTCTCTTTCTCTTTCTCTTCTCTTTCTCTTTCTCTCTCTCTCTCTCTCTCTCATATATATATATTATATATATATATATATATATAATATATATATATATATATATATATATATGTATATATATATGTGCGTGAATCTTTCTTTTTTCTCTTTCTACATACATATACACGTACCACACCACACACACAACACACACACATATATACATACATCTGAATTATATATATGTACACACACACACACACATGTATATATGTGTGTGTGTCTATGAATAGACATATCTGTGGATATATATAAAGAGAGATAAAAGAGATAGATTAAAGATAGACAGATAGATAAACAGATCGCATAAGAAAAAAAAGATTCATCAGCTGACGTTTGAAAAAGGAGCAACATTTTTTTCTCAACCGATTCAACCTCCCTCCCCCCCCTCCCCCCTCCCCCCGCACTCCCGACAACCTTTCCTCCTCCTCCTTCCCTCCTCGCCCCCGTCCCCCGTCCCCCCTAATTAGACTAATTATTTCGCACTGATGTTAATTGTGATTGACGCGTGTGTACAGCCAGGAGTGTTAGGTGGAATTAATCTGATTATTTCCTCTCTTGTCTTATCGAACAAGGCGCTACTGGAGTTTATGTGTTTCTCTCTTCAGTTTTGTCTTTGTTTGTATGTAAATAATTATCGTTAGCATTGTCTTTATTATCATTATCATCATCATCTTCTTACCATTGCTTATTATTATTTGATTATTGTTGTTATTACTATTATCATCATTGCTGTTGTTACTATCATTAGTATCAATCTCATTCTCATTATCATTTTTATTATAATTATAGTGATGGATGTGATGTTAATGGTAATTACTGGAAGGGTAATGTGACTGATAATGGTAATGGTAATGATATTAGAAATAATAGGGATAATATTGATAAGAATAGAATGCTAAGAATAATGATAGTAATGATGAGAAAGACAATAGTAATAATGATTATGTGAATTGTTACAGCAATAACAATTATGAAGATAAGGTTATTAGTAATAGTAATTGCGTGAACGATGATAACATTAATAATGATGATTATGATTAATAAAATGATGAATGTATTAATGGTGAGAATTATGGTAGTAACTGTAATGAAAAGAAGAGCAATAGAAAGATTAAGATAATTGTGAAGAATCAAAAATTACATAACTATCATTTATCTATAATTATCATTATCAAATACTTAGGTCTCTCTTTGTCTCTGTCTCTCTGTCCGTGTGCCTTTCTCTCTCTCTCTCTCTCTCTCTCTCTCTATCTATCTATCTCTCTCTCTCTCTCTCTCTCTCTCTCTCTCTCTCACTCCCTTTCTCCCTCTCTCTTCACTCTCTCTCTTCCTCTCTTCCCTGTTTTCCTTTCATTCACTGAATGTTTACGAAAGAGCACTTTCGTTAACATCCCAAGGAAAATAAACAAAAAACAAGTTATGGGAAGTGAACCAGACGTTGGCTCCTGTAATATTTACTAACGTGTACTATTTTTCGGAAGACTACCTTCGTTTAGTGTTAAATTATAAGGTGTTTGCTTCACTGTAAACATTTACAGAAGATGAACATACACCGCGCCAAAATCCAGCGTTTAAAATCTTAAATACTCAGAGTTGATGTAGAAATGTGAATATTATTTGATCTTATCGTCACTTTGCGGCTAATGATGCGGTTCCGAGCCATTCTTGCTAGTTTCATGTTGCAATATTACTGCAGCTTAAAATATCATCAAGACACGTGTTTTGAAATTCCCGCCAACTTCATATTCCATCATATCCATTTGTTATTTTCCTAAGAATCGGTTTATGTTATGAAATATGCTTTCTTTGCATTTATCGCTATTATGATATATCAGTTTCATATATGACTGTCCTTGGCATGGAGTTTCAGTATAGCTTGCACAAGATCGAATATTTTGTTAAGTAATACCAAGGTTGCTATACTTTGAAACTCCAAAGACTATATATGTATATAGTCTTTGGTATTACTTAAAAAAATATATATAATCTTTGGTAATACTGTCTTTTACACTATCTGCTAACACGACTTTCATGAAAGGGAGAGAAAAACACTGGACTAAGTAGTTAGTAAATAGATTAATGTGAAAATATGTTAAACAATATTTTTAGACACCCATTCTTTATGTTTTGCAGAAAATGAAGACATAAGTATGATATGTCATATTTAAAACAAATATGCATGGGTCTAGAGTGCAGCAACAGAGAGAGAGAGGAGAGAGGAAGACGAGGAGAGAGAGAGAGAGAGAGAAGAGAGAGAGGGAGAGAGAGGAAGAGGAGACAGAGAGAGACAGAGAAGACAGAGAGAGAGGAGAGAGGAGAGAGAGAAGAGAGAGAGAGAGAAGAGAGAGAGAGATACGAGAGAGAGAGAGAGAGAGAGAGAGAGGAGAGAGAGAGAGAGAAGAAGAGAGAGAGAGAGAGAGAGAGAGAGAGAGAGAGAGAGAGAGAGAGAGAGAGAGAGAGAGAGAGAGAGAAGAGAGAGAGAGGAGGAGAGGAAGAGAGAGAGAGACACCCCGGACAAGAACGAGAAAGAAAAAAAGAAAGAAAAAGAAAGAAAGAGCAGAGAGAGACGAGAGAGAGAGAGAGAGAGAGAGAGAGAGAGAGAGAGAGAGAGAAGAGAGAGAAAGACGAAACAAACCGTCGACGCCATCAGACCTAACCTCATGACACATTCCATTTTGTAGGCAAGCTATAGGCCTACTTTTTTCCTCCTCATATTTCGAGTAAGTGAACTTTGTGCGTCACTCGATAGGCCAAGAAAGAGCCAAATAAAAGGAAAAGAGAAAAGGAAAATAGATGCCCACTGCAACAGCGCCGTTCACAATGCCACGTGTATTTCTCTCTGTTGTAATAACTGCATCTCGCCGCCGCAGTGGGAAATGGTGTTTAATAACTTCTAAATTTTAACTATGGTTCCCGAGTTAGTTCAATTGCAAAAGCAATTTAACTTGCATCAACAGGTGGATGTTATGTATCTCTGGATCACGGGTTTACAGGCTCGGTCGACTCTTTTCTCTTTCTCTCTCTCTCACTCTTTACTCTATGTTTGTCTGTCTGTCTCTGTCTTTCTCATCTCTTCTTTTCCTCTCTGTCTGTCTGTCTCTGCCTGTGTGTCTCTCTCTCTTTATCTCTCTCTGTCTCTGTCTTCTTTTCTCCCTCCCCTCCCCCCCCTCCCCCTCCTCCCTCCCTCTCCCTCTCTCTCTCTCTCTTCACACTCTCTCCCTCCCTCCTCCCTCTCTCCCCCCTCTCTCTCCTTCCCTTTCCTCCTCTCCCCCTCCCCTCTCTCTCTCTCTTTGTATATGTATGTGTGTGTTCGCATGTAATCGTAGAATTGTGTAATGGACCTTAACCATTCGTATTCCAGTCCGCAAAGTCATCTCACCGCAACACCCGAATGAATTAGTCACGTGACCCCAAGGATCCTGACTGTTCGAGATCTTTTTTTGACTGTCTTCGAATCCCTGCAATCTTCGCTTAGCTACCTGTTGCTGCGTTGGCTTCCGACCAGCGGTTGAAAGGCGTCTTGGAAATGGGAATAATAGAGGGAGAAAGGAATATAAATTAGGTTTGTATAAAAAGAAATTGCTGTGGTAAGGATTCAGACAATAAGGAAATTTATACGATTTATAAAGAACGAAAAGAAAAAAAAAGCCAGGAAGGGAAAATAACCATAACGACGAAGAGAAAGATAACGAAAATAATACCACACCTAAAAGACAATACCCCCCCACCCCCCAAAAAAAAAATCAATAAACATAAAAATAAGCATAATTCCCCAACACCACCACACCACAACCAAACCGAAAATCACTTTCCAACAACACAGACGAACCACAGTAACCCCCCCTCCCCCCCCCCCCTAGCGCCCTCAACCTCCGCGCGCGCCAGTCCCCCCTCCGACGTCGGCGTGAGTGCGTGTGTATCTTCGAACCGCTCCTCTTTAAGTGACATTCAGTCGTGAATAATGAAGGCTCGATGGAAGCCCCAAATATTGATCGATAATGGCATATGGGCCATAGAGACGCTGGCAAAGAGGTAGAGAGATCGGGTTGCACGTGAGAGGGTGGGAAGGGGGTAGGGAGAGGAGGGGGGGAAAAGGGAGAGAAGGAAAGGGGATGATGATGTGGAAGGATGAGGGAGGGGGATGGGGATAGGGACGGGGGATGGGATGGGTGAGGGGAGGGATGAATGAGGAGGGGGAGGAAGAAGGAGGAAAGGAAGGATAGATAGAGATCGAGAGAGAGAGAGAGAGAGAGAGAAGAGAGAGAGAGAGAGAGAGAGAGAGAGAGAGAGAGAGAGAGAGAGAGAGAGAGAGAGAGAGAGAGAGAGACGAGCAGGCAACACAAATGAAGGGAGAAAGGAAGAGAGTGAGGGAAGGACGAGAGACAGAGAGAGAAGGGGGGGGGGAGGGGGTAATGGTGGGGGGGGCTGTAATATTGGAAGGATAGAAAATTGGCTTTATGGCGTAACTTAAAATGATCTTTTCTCTATATCTTTATCATCACTCTTGTTATCAAAAGTATTTTCATAACGCTTATTATAACTTTAAAGATTAGGCCAATAAAAATCATCTAATAATGAAATGATAACAAAACAACATCAAATGTTAATGAGATTAAGAAAATGATGATGATGATGATTATGTTAATATAATTGATTAATATAATATGAGTAACAATGAACAATGATAATGAAATAATGACAATTATAGTAAAAACAATTAATGATACTACTACTACTACCCATACAAATGATAACAAAATAGTAATAAAAATAATGATAATGATAATAACAATAACAACAAAAAAACTGTAATACCTCGAAGCACTCCGAAGCGCATACCTCCGCCAAGTCACAGGGACGGCTGATGCAAATAAAAATTCAACTTGAAGAATTACATTAAAATTTCCACGTGGGGTGACGATCGTAAACAACAATCTCCTTGATGAAGCTTAATTAAATAAATAA